GCATGCAAAAGAGCTCTGTGTGCAGAAGATCACCAAGCATGAGGCAATTATTAAGGCAAAACCAACCAGTTCTATTATCAACAATCGCCAAGTGTCTTCTAAGAATGGGCAGCTTACCTGACGAGGAGAATTCCCTATTTTCCCTGCAGAGGGATTTCCCAGGTCTGCCCAAAGCTGGGCGGGGCTAGGAATTAAGGTTTGCTGGGTAGGAAAGTGGGAATGTTAAATTCTCTGGGTTATAGAGGGGGCAGAATTTGAGTTCTGGGAGGGAAGGTGATGAGAAGAGGGATGGAAGGGTGGAGAAGAAGGGAGCCAGCCAGGGATGGTACAAAGGTGGGAGTGAACCCAGCTAGAATAGGCCTGCGAACTTAACCCTATTAACTTGATTTTATTCACTTGCGTCTAGTTTGATCTTAAAACCTATATAGCTGCTGGGATCAGTGGCTCACACCTGTAATCCCAGCCCTTTGGGAGGCCGAGGCTGGAGGAATCACTTGAGCCCAGGAGTTTCAAGACCAGCCTAGCAACATGGCAAGACCTTGTCTCTACTAAAAACAAACAAACAAAAAACCAGATGTGGCGGCATGTGCCTGTAGTCCCCAGATACTCAGAGGCTGAGGTTGGGAGGATGGCTTGACTCTAAGGAGGTTTGAGGCTGCAGTGAGCTGTGATCACCATTAGTGTACTCTAGCCTGGGTTATAGAGTGAGACCCTGTCTTTAAAAAACAAACAAAACAAAAAAACCTATATAGCTAAAAGTCATGTAGCTAAGCAAATATTTAACCGGAATTCCACCACCAGTTCCTGCTGATAACATCTCTGATGTAAGAGGTCATCATTTAATGTTTTTAAAGTTGTTTTTCCAGGGCTTGGACGCGGTGCCCCATGCCTTAATCCCAGCACTTTGGGGAGGCCAAGGTGGGCTGATCACCTGAGGTCAGGAGTTCAAGACCAGCCTGGCCAACATGGTGAAACCCCGTCTCTACTAAAAATACAAAACTTAGCCAGGCATGGTGGTGGGCGCCTGTAATCCCAGCCACTCGGAAGGCTGAGGGAGGAGAATCATTTGAACCCAGGAGGTGGAGGTTGCAGTGAGCCTCCAAGATCGCTCCATTGCACTCCAGCCTGAGTGACGAGAGTGAAACTCCGTCCCAAAAAAAAAAAAAAAAAAAAAGTTGTTTTCAGGAACGTGTGGTCAGCTCTTATCCAGTTCAAGCCACTTATGACCATCAGTCCTTCAACTTGGTCTGTGAGAGTGTCCAGTAGGTGACGTTTGATGTCAGAGCACCAAAAACTCCATCCTTAGTCATGCTAATGCCACCATTTTGTGAACCTGCATCCTATGAAGAACCACGAAGCTGGACTAGGCTTGCACAGATCGCTGATGCCCTACTTTTCCTTGCCTCCAATCACCTTCCCTACACCTTAGGCCACCTGCTTCTTTGTCCCATCAACGTCTCTAAACCCCATCTTTGAGGAAGTCAGTTTGAGACCTATTTTCCCATCTCCTCACTTGGCTGCCTCATGAATAAACACAGTCTCTGCTGCAAAACTGGTCATCTCGGCAGGGTGGCTCCCACCTGTAATCCCAGCACTTTGGGTGGCTGAGGCAGGCAGATCACGAGGTCAAGAGATCGAGACCATCCTGGCTAACACGGTGAAACCCCGTCTCTACTAAAAAATACAAAAAATCAGCCGGGCGTGGGGGCGGGCGCCTGTAGTCCCAGCTACCTGGGAGGCTGAGGCAGGAGAATGGCGTGAACCCGGGAGGCAGAGGTTGCAGTGAGCCAAGATCGACGACTGCACTCCAGCCTGGGCGACAGAGTAAGACTCCGTCTCAAAAAAAAAAAAAACTGGTCACCTCAGTGATTGGCTTACTGTGCGATGAGCAGAATGGGCCTCATTTGGTAACAAGAGAAGAAACTGATAGAAAGTCCTCAGGGATGGGGTGGCAAAGACATTTTCAGAACAGGGCCCTGTTATGTTCCGTGCATAGTTGTTTGCACTGGTGCGTTACAAGCCCCTCTGGTGGCCCCCCGCTTAGTCTTTGGTAAAGTCTGCTGCATCTGCCAGTGGTTTTGTGAGCAGATTTGTTCTGGGGGTGTGGGGAACTAAGAAAGGGGTGGAATAGAAACAGTGCAACATAAACAGTTAAACCCACAGAGGCTGCAGGCCCATTGCTGACCATGGAAAAAGAGGTGGACTCCTCGGGAGTCCACAGAAGTCTTGGGGAGGGCTTTGGACTTCCGCAGGCCTAGAATAAGGGTTCGAACTAATCTCAGCCTAGATCTCAAGGGTCTGAGAGGCTGTAGAGAACATTTAGGCTGGTTGGCCTGAGCAGCTCTTGCCCCAGTTCACCTCTAATTCCCAGACTGTTGCTGTTCATGCTCAGTGAGGCCTTGTTCTCACTCGTCCTTCTCTCTTTTTTTTTTTTTTTGAGATGGAGTCTTGCTCTGTCACCCAGGCTAGACTCCATTGGTGCAATCTCGGCTCACTGCAACCCCTGCTTCCCGGTTAAAGCCATTCTCCTGCCTTAGCCTCCTGAGTAGCTGGGATTACAGACACACATGCACCACCATACCTGGCTCATTTTTGTGTATTTTTAGTAGAGATGGGGTTTTGCCATGTTGGCCAGGCTGGTCTCAAACTCCTGACCTCAAGTGATCCACCTGTCTCGGCCTCCCACAGTGCTGGGATTACAGACATGAGCCACTGAGTCTGGCTCCAGTTGTCCTTCTCACTGATGTCAGCACCAGAAATGGTCATGTGGATAGTCACTGGCAACTTAAAACCCAAGTGTGCATGGGGAAGTGCAGGGCAGGGTCATTAAACGGAGTCCAGCCTCTCTTCTCCCTTTCTCTATCCTTTCACTTCTGGGAAAGACCGGAAACCTCACCTCATTCCTCTTTCTCCCATGGCCCCATCCCCACCCCACTTCAGCCCGTCAGGCTCCAAATGTAGTCCAAGTCCTCATCTCTGTACCTGGACCATTCCATTTTCGCTGGTCCCTAGTCCCCATCTGGCTCCCCACTGGCTGCCAAATACCAGTGTGACCCTGTCCTTTCCTTGCTTTAAGCCTCTCAGTAGTTTTTTTGTTTGGTTGGTTGGTTTTTTTTTTTTTTTTTTTTTTTTTTTTTTTTTGAGATGGAGTCTTGCTTGCTCTGTCACCAGGCTGGAGTGCAGTGGCATAATCTTGGCTCACTGCAACTTCCGCCTCCCGGGTTCAAATGATTCTCCTGCCTCAGCCTCCTGAGTAGCTGCAACTATAGGCACCCGCCACCACGTCCAGCTAATTTTTGTATTTTTAGTAGAGACGGGATTTCACCATGTTGGCCAGGCTGGTCTTGATCTCTTGACCTTGTGATCTGCCCACCTTGGCCTCCCAAAGTGCCAGGATTAGAGGAGTGAGCCACCGCACCCCACCTGCCTCTCAGTCGTTATTTACCACTGAAGCAGAGTGAAGCCTCTGCTCTGCATTGCTTCACGGCCAAGACCTCGGGGACAAGTGGATACACAGGGCAGTGGGAGTGGATATGGCGAAGCCGAACCCTGGTCTCTTCTCGAAATAATTTTCTAGAGGGCAAAAGCAGATGGCTCCACCGAGAACTCACACCAGCCCAACACACTTTGATCTCGAGGCCTCTGGAAGGGAAGGTGCCTAATGAGCTACTTAAAGCCAGAGATGCAATGACAGCGGTACCAAGACTGGAGGTGTTCCAGGTCTTTCATCCAAGAGCCCCAAGACATAGCCTAAATTCGCACCACTGTAATCTCAGCACTTTGGGAGCCTGAAGCAGGCGGATCACCCGAGGTCAGGAGTTCAAGAGCAGCCTGGCCAACACAGTGAAACCCCATCTCTACTAAAAATACCGAAATTAACCAGGTGTGGTGGCGCGTGCCTGTAATCCCAGCTATTCGGGAGGCTGAGGCAGGAGAATCGCTTGAACCCGGGAGGTGGTGGTTGCAGTGAGCTGAGATCGCGTCACTGCCCTCCAGCCTGGGCAACAAGAGCAAAACTCCGTCTCAAAAATAGATAAATAAATAAAATAAAATAAAAATAAATAAATGGACACAGTCAGTGCCTTGCTCCCACCCCTACCTCCAGCACAGCACCATGACAGTCTTCTCACATATCAGTCCCAAAACACACTATCGGCATCCAGAGAGTGGGAATAACTCGTTACAGTTCACACCTCTCATTCCCAGTCATTATCTCATTTCAACCCGAGAGGTAGACTTCTTCATCGCCGCGACATACACACGAGGAAAAGGCCCAGAGAGGTGAAGCGATGCCTCAGGTCACTCAGCCAGTTACCGGCAGAGCAGATTCTTCAATGCAAGTTTTTCTCCAACCCTACCCAGCAGTCGTACCAGGGCTCCAGGCTGCAATCCCCTGGCCCGGTGCCCATCAGTGGCTCCCAGGGACACATGCCCTGATGCCGGCGCTGACAGATGTCTACTGGGAAGAGAGCAGGAAACTGTCCCTTGGAAAGCCGAGATGCTTACCTGAACTGTGAAGGTATCCGAGCGGCTAAGGAGACAGCAGTGGCCGGAGTGCTGCGGTTCAGGCACAGCTGGCGAGAGGCATTCCTCACTCACAGGCCCTCACCCACCGCTCGAGACAGTGAGCCTCATCCTGACCACTTCCCCTTTCTAGTCTGCCCTCGGGGGAGAGACCCAGGCGTCATCTCTAGGCAAGCATCCCTTTTCCAGGGAAGCTGACGACCCGCGGCTGTCCGGAAGCCAGAATCTTCTCACTGCCCTGGGTCGCTCCCGCAAGACCCACCAGAGGACCCTCATGGTGCGGGAGGGGGTCCTGGTGGGGGCCAGGGGCCAGGGTGGAGACTTGGCAGTGTGGGTGGGTGAGGTGCCCCTACAGACGAGTTTGCCCTGAGCATTCCTGGAAGTGGTAGCCTTAGTCTCAAGAAGAGCGACGGGACGCCGACCCCCACGCAGAGACAGATCCAGGTAAGAAACCAGCTCATGTGTGACAAACTCACCAGCTCACAATGAGGGTGACTCTTGAAAGCTCCTGTGCACCCTGGAACTGCTGAGACATCTTCTGCTTGGAGGAGGCAAGGGACAGGCTTCCTGTTTCTGAGGGCGTGTGAGTGGCGACATTGAGAAATGTGGCCAGTGGAGCATTTTGACGGAGTTGGGTTCCCTCATTTAACACTGTGAGACAGAAACTCCCAGCGAGGCCCACGGCCCCTGAACATGGGGGATGGGGTGGGGAAACCAATTAACCATTTTGTTGAATTGGCTGCTTCTGACTCAAATGAGCAGTCACATTAGTAAAAATAGGCAAACGGATGTGCGTTGTGTCTGCCTAGAGCGAATGAGTTGTTGTCGATTTCAGTAATAATGATGATAACCTGATAGGTCTGATAAATGTTTAACAAACACCTGGCTCTGGCCGGGCACAGTGGCTCACGCCAGCACTTTGGGAGGCCGAGGAGGGCGGATCACCTGAAGTCAGTAGTTCGAGACCAGCCTGGCCAACATGGTGAAACCCCATCTCTACTAAAAATACAAAAATTAGCCAGGCGTTTTGGCGTGCGCCTGTAGTCCCAGCTACTCAGGAGGCTGAGGCAGGAGAATTGCTTGGACCCATGAGGCGGAGGTTGCAGTGAGCTGAGATCATGCCACTGCACTCCAGCCTGGACGACAGGGCAAGACTCCATCTCAAACAAAACAAAAACAAAACATCTGGCTCAGAAGATTCCTGATTTGCAGTGTTTACTAATTTCTTTTTCTTTTTCTTTTTTTTTTTTTTGAGATGGAGTTTTGCTCTTGTTGCCAGGCTGGAGTGCAATGGCTTGATCTCGGCTCACTGCAACCACCAACTCCCAAGTTCAAGTGATTCTCCTGCCTCAGCCTCCCAAGTAGCTGGGACTACAGGTGCCTGCCACCACATCTGGCTAATTTTTGTATTTTTATTAGAGACGGTTTCGCCATGTTGGCCAAGCTGGTCTCGGTCTTTTGACCTTGTGATCCACCCTCCTCTGCCTCCCAAAGTGCTGGGATTACAGGGATGAGCCCCTGCACCTGGCCAAGGCCTGAACTCTTTCTTATTAGGCTCATCCAAAGTTTAGCTGCTAAAACACCTTCCTAAAAGCCAATTTAAAATTCTCTGCTAGGCCAGATATGGTGGCTCACGCCTGAAATCCCAGCACTTTAGGAGGCCGAGGCAGGCGGATCACAAGGTCAGGAGTTTGAGACCAGCCTGGCCAATACAGTGAAATCTCGCCTCTACTAAAAATACAAAAATTAGTCAGGCGTGGTGGCAGGCTCCTGTAGTCCCAGCTACTCAGGAGGCTGAGGCAGAAGAACCGCTTGAACCTGGGAGGCGGAGGTTGCAGTGAGCTGAGATCGAGCCACTGCACTCCAGCCTGGGCAACAGAGCAACACTCCGTCTCAAAAAAAAAAAAAAATTCTCTTCTGAAGGGTGAATAAATGCTCCTGTGGATAGAACTTATCCTAGGCTAACAAAGCTGTGACTTTTTGGTTTGTGTTTCATTCATTCATTCAATAAATCAATCAATAAATTATTTTGCTAACCTTTAAGGACCCCAGTTCAGCTGTGTGATATAGTGAACTCTGTAACCCTATTCCCAACAATGCCTTTTGCACATCAAGTTCAAGGGTGAGGTGTCAGGTGATCAGAATTCCAGGCCTGGTTTGACAACTTTCTTTGTGAATCCTTCCCTTCTCTGAGCCTCAGTTTCCTTGTTGTAAAATGAAAGAATACAATTGATAAACATGAAAGTGCTTCAGGGATTTTGCCTTGAAGGTTTTTTTTTTTTTTTTTTTTTTTTTTGAGACAGAATCTCGCTCTGTCGCCCAGGCTGGAGTGCAGTGGCACAATCTTGGCTCACTGCAACCTCTGCCTCCCGGTGTCAAGCGATTCTCCTACTTCAACCTCCCGAGTAGCTGGGATTACAGATGCGTGCCACCATGCCCAGCTAATTTTTGTATTTTTAGTAGAGACGGGGTTTCACCATGCTGGCCTGTCTGGTCTCAAACTCCTGACCTCAAGCAATCTGCCCGCCTCGGCCTCCCAAAGTACTGAGATTACAGGCATGAGTCACCGCACCTGGCCTTCTTTTTCTTTGTTTTTAAAGACAGGATCTTACTCTGTCACCCTGGCTGGAGTGCAGTGGTGCAATCACAGCTCACTGCAGCCTTGACCTCCTGGGCTCAATCGATCCTCCTGCCTCAGTTTCCTGAGTAGCTGGAACCACAGGCATATGCCACCATGCCTGGCTAATTTTTGTATTTTTTTGTAGAGATGAGGTCTTGTTATGTTTTCCAGGTTGGTCTCAAACTCCTGGGCTCAAGCAATCCTCCTGTCTCAGCCTCCCAAAGTGTTAGAATTACAGGCATGAGCTACTGTACCTGGTCTATTCTAATTTTTAAAGGTTCAATAAAATTCTAATTCTCAATAACATTCTCTGTATCTCTCTCTTTCTCTCACACACACACAGTTATATATATATAACATATAGTTAAATATATAGTTACATTTTCTTTTTTTATTTTTTTGAGACAGAGTCTGGCTCTGTCACCCAGGCTGGAGCGCAGTGGCTAGATCTCAGCTCACTGCAAGCTCCGCCTCCCGGGTTTACGCCATTCTCCTGCCTCAGCCTCCCGAGTAGCTGGGACTACAGGCGCCCGCCACCTCGCCCAGCTAGTTTTTTGTATTTTTTAGTAGAGACAGGGTTTCACCGTGTTAGCCAGGATGGTCTCGATCTCCTGACCTAGTGATCCGCCCATCTCGGCCTCCCAAAGTGCTGGGATTACAGGCTTGAGCTACCGCGCCCGGCCTATAGTTACATTTTCATTATTCATTCATCTGTTTGTAGACACTGAGGTTGTTTCCATGTCTTGGCTATTATGGAAAATGCTGCAATGGACATGGGAGTCAAACATCTTTTTCCATCTCTTCAGTTTCAGCCTGTGTGTTTCCTTAAAGGGCAGCATATACATTATATCTACATAATGATGTTTTGATGAGTGATGGACCGCATATTAGACGGTAGTCCCCTAAGATTATAATGAAATGGAAAAATTCATATCACCTAGTGATGTCATAGCCATTGTAACATCATAGCACAATTATTTTTCAAATGAACTTGTATAGCTTACATGTACAGTGTTTGTAAAGTCTGCATCTTGTACAGTAATGTCCTAGACCTTCATATGCATCACTACTCACTCACTGACTCACCCAGGGCAACAGCCAATCCTGAAAGCTCTATGGCGAATACTCCATACAGATATACAATTTTTTAAAAATCTTTTTATTTTTATTTTATTTTATTTTTTAGTTTCACTCTTGTTGCCCATGCTGGAGTCCAATGGTGCGATCTCGGCTCACTGCAACCTCCACTTCCCGGGTACAAGCAATTCTCCTGCCTCAGTCTCCTGGATTACAGGCACATGCTGCCAAGCCCAGCTAATTTTTCTTGTTTTGTGTTTGTTTTTGTTTTGGGACAGAGTTTCACCCTTGTTGAACATCTCCGTTTTAAATGTATTGTTTTCCTAATTTTGGTTGCGTTGTCTGTGTTCTGCTGTAGCTTGCTATGCTCCCTTAAAACAATTATTTTGAATTCCTTGTCAGGAAATATTTAGATCTCCACTTCTTTGGGGTTGGTTACTGTAAAATTATTGTGTTCTTTTCATGGTGTCATGCTTCCTCAGTTTTCACGTTGCTTAAAGTGTTACATTACTGTCTTTGTATTTACTTGGAGAAGTCACTTCTTCCTGTCTTTGATAACTGGCTTTGAGAGGAAAACACCTTCACCAGTTAACCAGGCTCAGGGATTCTGAGGCTGTCTTGTACTTTTTCTATGGATGCACCCACTCCGCTCCTCTTGTTCGCTCTTGGGATGGGGGGGGATTCTTAAGATGGTATACCTTCTGTTAATACTGCAAAGCCAGGCCAAGCACGGAGAGTCTCCCATTTGTTTTCCTTAGGGGCAGTGCCCTGAAATGCTCATTTGTGTACCTTCTCCCAATCCTACGGTATCAAGCCTGTTGAGTGCATGTGCTTGCAAACCATCTGTAAAGCCCTACACTTGCTGTCCAGGGTACACCTAGAGAGGTCCAGCCATGGGGTGGTGAAAGGGGTGAAGCACATAGAGTATTCGAGGTGCCCATGGGCCAGCTGGGGAGTCTACAGGTAAGGCATCCCAAGCAGCTTGTGAGCAGGCCTTTGATGGAATCTGTGAAGCAGCTAGTAAGGTATGTGGCCCTTTGTTGAGTTTTATACTGTGATTGCTGTGAGTCTCTTGCCTTTGTTCCTTCCTCCACATTCTCCCAGCTACTCGTTCATGTGCATCCCTTCAGTATTCTGGGTGGAATGAAGAAGAGGGAGGACTCTTAGGAAGCATCCTGCACAGCTGGGGAAGCTGAGTGTTCACTCATTATACTTTTACATTTCCCTGTGGGAGTTACTGTGGGCTGAGGGGGTCTGTCGTGTCACTGACCTGTACCACCTACGGGCAGGGGTGATGCAGTGAAACTGTTCTTTTTATTTTCTTCAGTGTTCCTATGTTTAGATTTTTTGCTCCAATGGTGTTCTAGAATTTCTTCCCTGGACTCCCACAAAGGTATATTAATCCATGGATAGTTGTCAAAACCAGGGCACTGTGGAGGAGATGAGATGAACAGCAGTAGGAAACTCCTATTCCACCATCTGGGTCTCTCTGCCTTCTTCATATTTACTGTTATAGACTGATCTCTCCAGCTGGAAAACTCCTGGAGGACTGAACACTTTCTCAAGTACCACCTGAGTGGACAAAACATCAACTACTTTTCCTCTGCTCTCATACCGCAGTCAACACAGAAGACTTCCATGAAATGTATGGAAACTTATCCCTACCAATAGGCAAGCGATCAGTTCTACATTCAACAGCTTATGGGTGTCCTCCAATTCAATTTCGCCACTACCACCCTGGAGACAGCATCAGATCACACAGATTAAGGGCTCAGTCCCACGAGACTTCCTGTCACTTTTGACGCCAATCACAAGCACCAGGATGTTTTACCCATGCTTCTGACCTACTGGCTATAAATGGGGGTTCCCATGGCTTCCTCCTTGGGGTTGATTAATTTTCTACAGTGGCTCACAGAACTCAGGGAAACGCTTATTTATGCTTACCAGTCTATTGTAAAGGATATTACAAAGGATACAGATGAAATGTTGCACAGGAAAAGGTAAGGGGGAAAAGGGACAGAGCTTCCATGCCCTCCGAGGACGCACTGCCTT